TTCAAAGACCGTGTGGATTGTTATCAATAAATTCTTTCATTTTGTAGGCATAATGACCCCACAAAGTGACACGAATTTGTAAACCACTGGAAAATAAATGATTTAAATTAGGTCCAATAATTAATATATATATATATATATATATATATATATATATGTGTGTGTGTGTGTGTGTGTGTGTTTGTTGAAAGTCGGAAACTCTCTTTCCTTGATTTACATTGATTTCCCATAAGGCATATATACAATACAATCAGGTCTATAACTATGGAAACACGTATACATCAAAATAATAAAAGATATTTACAATAAAAACATTATATATATATATATATATATATATATATATATATATATATATATATATATATATATATATATATCTACTAATACACCCCCGCAGTCTGAGCGATGGTAGCAATCCGAAGACTGGACTTGAACTTCTGAAATAGAGGCTTAGGTAGACCTTTGGTAAAAATGTCCGCATATTGATAGTCAGCAGGAATATGAAGAACTCGAATGGAGCCGATGCGCACTTTATCTCGGACGAAGTGTTTGTCGATTTCCACATGTTTGGTTCGTTGATGTTGCACGGGATTCCCTGTAAGATAAACGGCAGAAACATTGTTGCAAAATATGATTGTGGCTTCCCGAGTAAATACAAATAGTTCTGTCAAGAGATTCTGAAGCCATGATGTCTCTGCAGTAGTGTTTGCAACGCCTCGGTATTCAGCTTCGGCACTAGAGCGAGAAACTGTGTTTTGTCTTTTTAAAGACCAAGAGACTAGATTATCTCCCATAAAGACACAGTATCCTGATGTGGATCGTCTGGAGTCTGGACAACCCCCCCAATCGGAATCAGAGTAAGCAACTAGGTTGGTAGATTTCGAGCGAGTTATTGGGAGACCATGAGAAATAGTACCTTTCAAGTATCTGAAAATCCGTTTGAGGTATGCAAAATGTGGTTCGCGGGGAGCATGTATGAAAAGGCATATCTGTTGGACGACATAAGCAATATCTGGACGTGTGAAGGTGAGGTACTGTAAAGCACCAGCAAGACTGCGGTAGAGAGTACCGTCTGTAAGTAAGTCACCAGCAGTAGCACTGAGCTTGGAATCCGTATCACATGGAGTGCCACTTGGTTTACAATCGAACATGTTTGCACGCGATAAGATGTCAGCAACATAAGATTCTTGAGAAAGAAATAAACCATGTGGCGTATGATGTACCACAATACCCAAAAACTGATGTAACGTTCCAAGATCAGTCATAGCAAACTCCTTAGATAAAAGTGAATTTAACTGTTGAAGGAGCCGAGTATTAGAAGCAGTTAAGATAATGTCGTCCACATAGAGGAGAAGGTAAGCCATATCGGATCCATGGTTGTAGACAAACAATGAAGGATCACTTTTAGTGCTTTGAAAACCACAACTAGTAATGTAATTAGCGAACCTTTGGTACCATGCCCTGGGGGCCTGTTTGAGGCCATATAGAGACTTCTGTAACCTGCACACATATGATGGATTATTTTTATCAACATAACCTGGAGGCTGGGACATATATACCGTCTCGTTTAAATCTCCATGCAGAAAAGCATTCTTGACATCCAATTGATGGATTGGCCAAGATCTTGAAACAGCCAGGCTCAAAACAGTCCGGATGGTAGTGGGTTTCACAACTGGACTAAAAGTTTCATCGCAATCAATACCAACCTGTTGTGATCTTCCATTTACGACTAAACAAGCCTTATATCTTTGTAAAGTACCATTAGCATGAAATTTATGACGAAACAACCAGATACAATTTATGACATTAGTATTAGCAGGTCCAGGTACCAATTCCCACGTGTTATTATCTAATAAAGCCGTATATTCGTCGGTCATGGCGTTGCGCCAATTTGGATCATTGAGTGCGGCACTGTATGTCTTAGGTAATGGAGAAATGGATTGGGTGTTGTGAGTAAGAAGATTTAAGGGTTGTTTGGGTTTGGAGGTACCGTCCCTGAGACGGGTGGTCATAGGGTGACTGTTGACGGGTGGAATAAGGGTGGCACCGGTTCTAGGTTGTCGATGGTAGGTGAATTTTAGAGGTGGGAGAGATGGTTGGCTAGTGTTGGCAGGAAGAGTTGGGGGACTGTGTTGGGTGTCTGTAGCAGGAGAAGTGGGGGATGTGGGAGAGGGTTGAGGGGATGAAGGTGGTGACTGAGTTGGCACAGTGGGAGGTAGATGGGTCGGTATGGTGGTTGGAAAGAAGAAAGGAGAGGGTTCGGTGTCAAGGAAAGTGTAGTCTTTAGCAAGTTGTGTAGTTGCAAAAGGGAAAATAGATTCGTCAAAAGTGACATGGCGCGAGAAAATGACCTTTCCGGAAGTGAGGTCAAGGCACCTGTATCCACGAAAGTTGGTTGGGTAACCTAAAAACACACATGGTGTGGATCTAAGGGCTAGGTTATGTGGTCTGGTAGCTGTTTGGTTTGGATAACATGCACACCCGAAGACCCTTAAGTGTTCATAATCAGGGTGTCGAAGGTAGAGAGCGGAGATAGGTGTGTGGTTTTGTAAGGTTTTGGTAGGGAGAATGTTATGCAAGTAGGTGGCTGTGAAAAGACTTTCGACCCAATAAGATGGAGGTATCGAAGCATGAGTAAGAAGGCAAAGCATTATTTCATTAAGACGACGAATCATGCGTTCCGCTTTGCCATTCTGTTGCGAGGTTTGTGGGCAGGAAAACCGAAACTGAAGACCATGTCTGTTAGAAAAGGTCTTAAACTGTGTATTATCAAACTCTCCGCCTAAATCACATTGGAATGATTTACTATTGGTATGAAATTGTGTCTGAATATATTTATGAAATTCGACGAATTTAGTGAATGTTTCAGACTTGCATTTTAAGGGGAAAACCCATGTATATTGAGTTTTATCATCAATGAGTACCATATAGTATTTGTAACCAGCATGGCTTAACAAGGGGGAGGTCCATATATTACAATGTATAATATCAAAAGGTAAATAGGTGATAGATTGTGATTTATGAAAAGGTAAACGTTTATGCTTAGAAAGTTGACAAGATTGGAAAAGAGTAAAACTGGAAGTCTTATTACATGGAATAAAATTAAAAATACGAAGATAATCCATAACATGATGTCCCGGGTGTCCTAAACGAGCATGCCATGGCAAGTTGTTATCAGCAACAAAGGCGGAAGCAGTGGAAGTGTAGGTGAACGGATAGAGATGACTTGTTCTATCATGTTTGCTGAGGATCTTCCCAGTCTGGTAGTCCTTCACAGAGAAGCCAAAAGGATCAAAGTCACAAGAAACCCAATTATCAGTGGTAAATTGTCTAACAGAAATAAGGTTTTTGATAATTTGAGGAGAAAACAACACGTTTTTGAGATGCAATGGTTTGGAAGATGATGGTAGGGAGGTGTTGCCAGATCCTTGGATTGGCAACGGCTGACCATTACCAACATATATAGACTTAGTAGAAGTAACAGAGGAAGGAATAATAACTATACCTGCATCAGATGTCATGTGGTTTTTTGCTCCCGAATCCATAAACCACTGATTATCGGTTTCTGGTTGAACATTCAAAGCCCCGAAAGCTTGACCTAGGTCATTAACATCCAAGGGGTTAAGGTCAGTGAGATTAACTTGTGGAGCATTTGCGGTCTGCGGAGGTGGTGGAGTAGGTCCACGATTCTGATAGTGTGGCATGGTCCAAGGAGGTTGAGCCCAACCCGATTGAGTAGGATATGGGCATGGTGGTGGAGCTGCCCACCATGGGGCCCACTGTTGGGAGTACTGGGCTGCCTAAGGTGGTGGCGATACTGCATAAGGAGCAACAGACCTGGGACCTGAAGGTCGTGAGCCAAATTGGTTTGATGGTGGCTGATTGCGGTGGCCGGAGGGGCGGCGCTGGTTGTTGCGAGGAGCTGAGTCACGACGAGCAGGGGCAGGAGCCGGTGCCGGTTGGTCCCGCGAGACGGCCGCGATGACAGGTGATGGGATATGAGCAGAGTCACGGGCCAATTGGCGTCGTTGTTCATGGTCCAACATATCACAGGCATCTTCCCATGAAGGCAATTCATGATTGATTTGAGAGGCTGTGACATCAAATTCAGGGGGAAGACCACGAACAAGTTGAAGAATCAATCGGGTCTCGGTAACCGGGTTATCTGTGTCGGTGAGTTTGTCAGCAATCTCCTTCAATCGTTGGCAATAGGCCTCGAGGGAGGGTATGGAGCGGAGCGTGAGATTGACAAACCCTTGTTCAAGTGCAGCAGCCCTGGATCCCTTGTTGTTGTGGAAGATGTTCTTCACTCTATTCCAGGCCTGATATGCAGTAGATTCAGTCTCTAACACCCGTACAAGCAATTCGTCTGACAGTGTAGCATAGATCCACTGTAAAACGATTGCATCAATCTCCTTCCATGATGTGTGACTCGGGTCGGTGGGAGTTGGTGAAGGTGTTCCATCAATGTGATTGAGTACCTTGTACCCAGTAGCATTGAGGCGAAAGAGCTTCATCAATGTGGGAGCTGGTGAAGGTGCTCTGATACCATGAAAATCGGAAACTCTCTTTCCTTGATTTACATTGATTTCCCATAAGGGATATATACAATACAATCAGGTCTATAACTATGGAAACACGTATACATCAAAATAATAAAAGATATTTACAATAAAAACATAATATATATATATATATATATATATATATATATATATATATATACTAATATGTGTGTGTATAAAACATACTTTGCATCTTGTATTTGGATGTTGAGTCTGTGTTTTTTCATATCGAAATTATCTCGCAACATGTCACTAAAAGCAACTACCAATCCAATTACATCTATGAAAAATAACAAAGAAGAACAAAACATTCTTGTGAATTTAAATATATAATATTTAAGTCAAACATAAAATTTGTCAATAATTAAAATATATTAACATCAACTAACCGATAACAAGGTTTTGAGGATGTATCAATGAGATAAGAGTTTGCTAATCAACAAACTCAAAACCAAATGTAGGTCCAGAAAAGTCATCACACTTCGTAATAACAGTGTTATTCACAAAATTAAGTTTATGATGAAGGCGAGTTAACCTCAAAGCATTTATCCTTTGTGATGCAAAGATTGGAGATTTTATGTAAAATGCATGCCCGTCTTTTAGAATATCTTTGAATTTGTAGATGTTTTTTGTTGACACGGTTGCTTGGATCTTGTTTCCCTAAAAGAAGTATGATATAAATTGACATTTATAAGTAAATTATATTAGATTTGTATGTGTAAAGAAAAAATATTTTTAATTTTTCTAATTACCTGTTCATCTATTAAGATCATTTCAATTGAGTAAATTTCATCCTTGTTGTACACAGACATTTGCTTCCACAAGTTTATGACACGAAGTTTGAAAGCCAAGTCATCACTAGTTACATCCACATCAACTACAAATGTAACATTTTGTGCTGCCATTTCTGTGAAAAAAATTAAAATAATAACTTCATAATAAAATATTGTAAGATATTGAAACTGACTTTGCATATACATAACAATCAATAAGAATAAGTATATAAGATTTTCGAACATAAGATACACAGCCACATTATAAAGATGAAAATTGCAGTAAAATTAATTTGGTTTTCAAACATAATTGAATGATGTAACGCCCGTAGATCCGGACTAGTAAATTTAGAGATAATAGGGGTCGAAAACGACTTTTAGACAAAAGATTATTTAGAATAAATAATCTTAACCAAGTTGTAGAATATGTCTCAAGGGTTCCGTAGATATAAAGAATGCCGAAATCCGAGTTATAACGAAGAAGTTATGACCCGTCGAAGTTTCGCGACGGAACCGGCACGGCACCGGGAAGCGTAAATAGTGAATTTACGATAGAGCGACTTTTAGCCTTATCGATCTAAACTAAAGTCGTAAAAAACGTTAAACCAAGAGCGTCCATAAAAAGAACGCCTAAATTTGACTTTGTATGAGGAAGTTATGATTTTTCGAAGTTTCGGCTTAGCAGTGTACAACCCGAAATTCGAATTTTAGATCGAGCGGTTTTTGGCCAATGCGACCTAAATGAGAATTGAAGATCTCATTAATAGGAACTCAACGGCAAAAAGACAGACGAAAACGGAGTCCGTATGTAAAAGTTATAAATTTTACGCGGACATTTAACAGTGTAATCACCTCCTACTGTTAAATTTAAGATCGGTCGAGAATTACCCGACGGAGAAAAAAGGAAAGTTGTAGATTTTATTTTTACCTACGCGTGGATATAAATAATGTCAAAAACGGAGCTCGTATACGAAAGTTATGGACGAAGCTTAGTCTCTACTTTTCGAGCGCGGCGAATTCGATATAGTTTTGTAAATCCGAGATAGAATGAGAATTAGCCAACAGGGTCTAAATGAAAGTTGTAGTACTCATAAATACCAACGTGTGGATATAAATAACGTCGGAAACGGAGCTCATATGCGAAAGATATGGACGAAGCTTAGTCGTTACTCTTCGTGCGCGATAAATACGATACAATTTTTGTAAATCTGAGATAGAAGGAGAATTAGCCGACGGGGTCTAAATGAAAGTTATAGTACTCGTAAATACCAATGCGTGGATATAAAGAACGTAGAAAACGGAGCTCGTACGCAAAAGATACGGACGAAGCTTAGAGGCTACTTTACTATAAAATTCCTATAAATAAGAGATGAACTCTTCATAATTTCTTCACACCATAAGCCTTTCTTTCTCTCTCTAACTTCTCTCTAACCTCCCTAAACCCCTCCCAAGTCTAGGGAACCTCCCTAGCACGAGAAGAAATCCCCGGAGCGCCCGACGACTCCGAGAAGAAAAGCTTTCGGCTCGGAAATGCTGCTCCAGCGAAGCCCGGTTTTTAATAAAAATCCGCTGTTTTGTCGAGGGGAAATTCTTTTGAGATAACGAAGTGCTGTTCGAGTGCCGAGTCACCACCTTTTCAAGTGAGTGCATAGTCCCTTTCATCTTACACATAGATACGAAGTATTTAATATAAATTACGTGCTATGTGTGCATATTGTCTGTATACTTGCCGTCTGTGTTGGGTGAAAGATTTTTATACATGTTTTAAATGATTTAAACTGTATATGTATTTTATATCTACAAAATGTGTTGGGTAAAACATGGGTAGATGAAACAGTTGCTGTATGACAAAAATATAATGAAGAGAAGTGATATAGACCATGAAATAAGGGTGAGAGGTAAACCATGAGAGAAGTCTTTTACCCATGTGTTGGCCCCGTCATTCAGCAGAGTATGGATGACAACCACGGACTATTCTAGACAGTCCAGTGGACACTAGCAGGCTCGCAACCTGTAAGTGTTTTGAACTGTGTATTCACCAGGTGTACTCTAAAAACCCATTGACATGTATTGCGAGTGGATCCTCGGAAACGATACTGTCGATAAACAAACCCTGGCGACTATGAGACATAGTGCCTAAACCCTGGCGACTATGCGACGTAGTGCATGTTGTATAAACCCTGGCGACTATGAGACTTAGTGCCTAAAACCTGGCGACTATGCGACGTTGTGCCAATTGAGTAGACTCTGGCAACGATGGATTTCGTGCCGATTCCTTAGGATAATCCTTAGGAATAAATAAACGAGGAATAGTTGATTTCTTAGGGTATAATAAAGAAGATAATGGGGATGGGTAATTGGGTTGATTGTATAATTGTTTAAACATAATAATTATATTATTGTGGGTTGAAAACCCTATGTACTCACCAGGTTTTCCAACCTGACCCACTCAGTTTATTTGAATCACATGTGTTGATATGAAGTTACATTACATTGAGAGATTAAGGAGATATAAGTCACTAGTGATAATGAATGTAAGTTCTGTTTATGCTTATGTTTCTGTATTGACGATGACATCCCAATGTTTTAAAATGAATAAAAATACATTTCTTCGGAAATGCTTTGATAACGTATTTATCATGTTTTTCTGGGAACAAATTTCGCAACATTTTTATTAAAAGAGGTACTCTGATTTTTATAAAGCATAAACAAAATCGGTCTTTTCTGGCCGTGAAAATGGAGATGTCACAAATGATAAAAGCATTATTGCCCATTTGCATAGGGCATACTATGCAATTTATTAAAGATAAACAATATTTTTTCTTTTATGCGTATATAGTTTACTGATCAACAGGTTTTTGTTAATCTAATCATATTCACACTCAACAGGGCATAATCGTCAATAACATCCACATCGGTTGTAAAGGTATCAACATGTTATTGTCAAAAACCTTCCGTACATAACAGGGCATAATCGTGTAAACAGAATAAATATAGATAAGAAGGAGAAGTGTAAACAGAAGAACAATACTTAATTCAACAGAAGAATCAATATATATGAGAATGAATTACTAGAGTGCCAGAGAAGAAGACGTACAGAGAACGAAACTATGAAAGACGCAAAGGTAAACAAATAATTTACAATACATATATATATGTAAATGATAACTGATAAAATCAGAAATGCAATTAGATTCCTATTATAATGCATATATATTGGGTAAAAGATAAATCAATCAATCAATCAATTCAAAAATATTCAAAATTAGTTAGAATATGGCAACAAAATTGCTAATTTGTAGGAAAATTAAAAAATTTCATATTTAATTTATTTGTATTTAATTTTAATTTATGTAATTGCTTTTCGTATTTAATGCAATGGGCGGGAATTTATTTCTGCAGAAAATTGAGAGATGGACACGTGGAAAGATGGTGCTTATTGAAGTGCCAAGTGACATTTAGGGGAGGCAATTATTAGGAATGAAGATTTGGATTAGATATATAATACTTTTTAGTAACGTATTTTAAAATAGTTAGGTTTCAGTGTGTTATGATTATTTGAGATATTTAGGTGTTTAAAACAAAAATTGCCATGTCAGTGATTAGTTTTTTTTAGGTAACGGAAAATGATTCAATGTTAGTAGTTAGTTTTGTTGGATTAGTGTCTAAGCCCATAACTATTTTGGTATGTACTTGACCCGATTATGAGCATGGTCCTTTTGGGTTGCCTTCACCATAGCAATATGTAGGATGAATTAAAGAGAGAAAGGTTTAATTATGATTTATTAATATATTATGAGAATAATATATTAAAGGAGAAATCCTATTGTTTGATTAATATCAGTCAAGAATTAATTAAGAATTAATTTAGTGACTAAAAGAGATTAATTAAACTTAGGGGACTGGATTTGTAATTATAAGATAATTGCAATTGGGCTATGGATTACCTAAATAATATAGGTTGGACGAATTCTATGGGAAGCCCATAAGGAATTCGTCCAAGGGATATGTTAAAGGAGTCCATGGGCTGCTTAGGGCTTAAGCAGCCAGATTAGGGTTTCCTAGTTGTAAACCCTAATAGCCTACATGTATATCAAGGCCCCCTATGCCCCAAAAACGTGGCTAAGTGTTCCTTTAGGGTTTCCAGCCGTTTTTGGTGCCTCCTCTCTCCTCCCTCTTCATCCAAGTTGCTTAGTGGTGTTTGTGACTCCATTAGAGGTGCAACACTTGAGGCACTAAGCTTTCTGAAGCCAAGGATTGATTGTTATTGCTATATAACAATCAAAGGTAAGATCTAAACCCTAATTTCAGTTATAGTTTATTAGATCTAGGGTTTATGGCTTTGGATTATCAATTGCATGTTCATTAGACAAACTAGATCCAAAGCTATTAGGGTTTGCATGTACACCATAGAATTGATGTTTTGCTCAAAACCCATCAAGTTTATGGGTTAATCGTATAAAAACCTTCAAGTTCAAGTTAACTTTATGTCCGTTTTTACTCTCATATTTTTAAAAAAAAATTTCGGTTTACCATTTTACCGATGATAACAGGTTTTCCAAATATCATTATATTAACTTCGTAAAAAATCCCTTAAATTTACATGTTTTTGTTTTTTGTTTTTTTTTCTTTTTAAGTTTTTACCCTAACTTTATAAAAAAAATTTCGCTTTTCCCCTAAGTATAATTTTTCATATTATAAGTATTAGTTCAAAAAATCGTAATTATATACGAAAAAAAATATTTAATTAAATATTGTATTTACATTCTTTTTAAATGTTTTTTCTTTATATATGAGTATTTTTGCCTGATTAAACCGTTTAAAATGTAAAAAAAATTAATATCTTTCTAGAACTATAAATACGTATTTTATATATTTAAAAGCATATATATATATATATATATATATATATATATATATATATACACACACACACATTTTTATGTTTTTTAGAAGTACATATATATATATATTTTAGAAATATTAGTATTTATTTTAGAAGTATAAATATTTATTTTTACGTTTTTGAAAATATATACGTATATTTTCAGAAATGTAAATATATATTTTTATATTCTTTTAAAAGTATAAATATATTATTAGAAGTATAGATACATATTAATATTTCTAAA